GCATCTATAGTGATCTATGGACAATATATAAACTGAATAAACAAACACATTATGGTGTGAATGCTGGGCAAAGTATGGAGTCACTAAGAACTGTAGATGTATTAAACATTTAAAAAAAAAAAAGAGGGATGGATGTGGAACGTCTGATAGCTTTAGAAATAACAATTCCATATTGTGGGGGAAATGAAGTTTTACATTATTTATAGAGTTTCTTTTCTCCAGGTCAGGTCAATTCCTTATTATTCCATCCTGCTTTTCAAAACAGTTTTGCTAGGAAGCCAAAGCATCCATATAGCACATAACATGGTGTTAGAGAAAAATATATCCCTGTGGATTCTGTTCTAGGCATGCCTGGTGCAGACTTTGGGATATGTATCAAAAATAGATTGGTATAATGCATGGCTATTGTTTTTTGTGTAAAAAGCTTTATTTCTGAAGTTCCTGGTGTAATTGAATGAATATAAATAATCTCAAATAAGCCATATTCAGAAAACGTGTCTTTTATTATTAATGTTCATATATTTTTTTCCTCAAAAGTATCTAAGTTATACATATTATCCTTGCTTTAAGTACAAGTATTTCAAACGTGTAGATATGAGTGTATAGTACTGAGTAAACGAGCACAGAAACAAAACAAGAAGAAACAGTAATCAGAAATTACTTGGAAAAATAAGTATCTTGATAAGGTCATGTCATCAAAGTGATAGAGTGACTAATATAAAAAGAGCAGGCTTATTATAAAACATGGTTCCAGACATGTTATGAATAGGTAAATTGTCATGCCACATTTGTTGCATATAGTAGTGATATACATTAGTTACACGCAACTATTGCTGTCAGAGGAATTATGCTCTCAAGGGGAAACTGTTGGTGTATCAGCAGTGACTTGGGAGCTAATACAATCTTAACCTTGCGTCAGAATCTATCTGCATTCAAATATACAGATCTCTAGCTGTTTCTGTTAATAAACTCTTTTGCTTCCAGTGTAAGTAGATTTTACAGTAGATTTAGCCTATAGAACTTATATCCTACCTATCCAAATTCAATTCACCTGTCTCTATGTATGAAGGTCCATTAGAGAGACTTATAGATTTACAGGACTGTAGAAATATAAAATATGTCGAGCTCTTTATGGGCTATACTACCGTTTGGTAGAACAGAAATTGTGCAGTCTAAATCAGAACAGTACCAGATTACATCAGCTGCTTTAAAGCAAATTAGTATATTTTTCTTTTTGTCCCATGCAAGTCTTAACATAGCCACCTGTGGTCCTGTTCAGAACTGTCTGGAAAGGATGGGAAGGGGGGAAGAGAGGGAGAAAGAGAAATCTTCTTGAGTATATGCCAAGTTGACATTTAAGTTTGGCAAAGAACATTTAGGGAGGCAACCTACCAGCCGCTCCCCAAGTTACAAGTCTATTATCCCCTTTCCATAGCAAACTCTCCAATTCCTTATTTAAACTAGCTTATACTTGGTAAGTTTAATTTCAGCTGCAAAAGCAACAGTTTTAGGTAAGAATCTCAACTTAAATTTTAAACAAATGCCACTTTTAATATTTACATTATTTAGATTGATTTTTTTTTTAAAAAAAAGTAAAGCTGTAAGATTTCACATACCGTGGGGGTTGGATCTTGCTTGGCAAAAATCAATTGCTCTTTCCCAAGCTTCTTGGGAGATAAAAACCCAAGAGGCCTAGAATTAGGGACTCTGGGACAATGGACAGCATTCTGACTGCCCCAACAAATATGTCTCTTCCAAAATAACTGAAAGGTAACTCTCACTTTCCTTATAATTCAGCCTCTTATTTCAGACCTATCCTCTAGTCCACACAACTCTGCTGAAAGCTGAATATAATTTCTAATACTTCTTTCTATATTGCTTCAGAGCTTAGGAGTTGCAGCAGATACTCCCTCAACAAAGTTATTCAAAGGCACTGATCTTCAAACTTCTGACTGCAAGAATGAACCAGTAAAGTCGTATCTAGTCTTATAGGTGTATGGGTGTTTTCTTTTTTAAATGTTTGCTGTCCAGAACAAGCAGTACTGGTCTAGATTTATTTCACTATAGCTGAAATCCCAATACATTTGAACAGGTTAAGAATTAAACTAAATTGTACATCTTTGGAATAATCTCTATTATGATTGCCTTGAACCCTTGTTTCCATTTCTATAGAACTCTTGCTACAGCCATAGTATAACTAGTCTCCCTCTTTTTTAATGCCTATCCCCCTCCCCACATACACACACTCTGAAGAGACACTTTTGGTCGCCCTTAGTCCTGCTCAGGGAATGGGAAAAGGACTTCCCTTTCAAGTTACAGTAGCTTCTCATATATGGTGGATAGGACCTTTCTTTTGTGCTATGGAATGATCCATAAAATCCATGCTACCAAGAATTAATTCAGGCATGTCACTTTATGCACCTTAATGATTTGCACACAGAGGCACAAAACAGGCAACTGTTATTCCTACTGAGCTTCTCTTGCAGATTCTTATAATGCATTTGGAATTACAGCTGTGTAGAGATCCATATATGAAAGGCAAAATGTGATTCAGCTCATGAGTAGGCATGCAAGTAACACCATCACGGGCTCCAAATTTTGCCCATCAATTCCAGATCTCTGCAAGCCCTATTAGGCATCTAGTACTTGCATTTTCACTAGAGGAAGGAGTAGAACTTATTAAAATATACCTGGACTGCAGAAATGCAGAATGATCACTATAGAACAGCAAAAAGCTTTCTATTATTATTATTTTGCTGCCATTTAATAGCCATCTACAATTTTGCATCACAACTACAATCCTTAAAAATAGATTTGGAGCTGCCCATGAAAATACAAAATTATTTTTCAAGGTGGAATGTCAAAATGTGTGAGCAACTCTGTTTTACATGGGCTCATGTAAAATCCTTTAATAATGATACTGTGTGATTCTCCCACTCCCAAACTGGAAGATTAGCCAGAGAGAATATTCTAAAAACTGCACCATTAGTATAGTCTTTAGGGTGAGCGCTGGTTTCCAGAAAAATACCTTTTTTTCAGGTGTGTAGTATTTTTTTTTTTGCAATGCCTCAAAAAGATCTTATTAAAAATTGGAGCACCTGTTAGAAAACTGATTTTTCCCCCACTGACTTTGGGTTACTTACTAGCAATACTAGTGTCTCTACTACCTGCCAATTAATCTGACTTTCAAATTAATTAATGAATCCACACTTATAAATCAGCAATCACATCCAAATAATTAGATATAAAATCTTTGATATATTGAAAAGTAAATTATTCACTCTCCTCCAACTTCTCATCTCATCCATCTTAATGTTGGTAATTAAGAACTATGGAGATCTCATGTTTTTACTAATGTTGTATCCTAGCATTCATTAGGCCATATTTTCCTTTCCAATTCACACTGGCCACATCAGTTGTAATATTTGAAGGATACTTCAAATATTACATCTTTCCTACACAGAAAGCACATACAGGCAACAAAATCATGTGAATATGTGCCTAATGATTGCAAATAGGATTACTGCTTCTTGGGGAAAATAGCTCTGTAGAGCATCAGGCTTTCTACACAGGAAATTCAGATTTAGAAGTACCCTGTAAATTGTATTGGTCTCATGCAATAAAGGTGTAGTGAGTAACAATTAAAAAATGGATTATAAGAAAAGACTCACTATTTTACAAGAGATGATAATATAGAATTTCTTCCACCAAAGAACTCATGAAAATGCTACTTGCTGCATAGCAAATATGTGATTACAATGGGCAGCTCCCTCATGTTTTTCTAGTGTTGCTGTTCGTTATTAAGTAGTTAGTCACAATTAAGGCTGAAACTTCAACATCAGGTGAAATTGAGATTGCACACAGCTGCCTTGTCCCATTCATAAGTGCACCAAACCTTTATGTCTAGGCTGCAAAACTCTAAATGACCAATAGATGGGAGCAAAGAGATTCAAAAAACTATCTCTCTGCAGCCTTTTAAAGGTTGCCAAATTCTAGAAGCCCCAAATTCCTTCATGCACATCTTAGTCTTCCACTGTACATGCTATATAATAATTGGCTTTCCTCAACAATTTTCAGCAGTAACCTTCTCTGCTGATTAAGTGCTATTTGGAACTTTGTCTGTGGCTGCTGAAATAGCCCTTTTTTCAACCTATCGTTAACTTGCTGCAAAAATTCAAACAGCCTCTAGATGGCAGTAGAGAGTTAGAATGATCTGTATCTCTTTAGATTCTTGCAGCAGTTATGTTAGGCCCACTCCTTCTTCCTCCTCTTTGGTTTCCTTGCCTTCCAAGCATCACCAATGTCTGGCCAACATCTAAGTCAGAGTAGGAGCAGGAATTTGAGAACAAAGGAGAAGCAGTGCTTACTTATTTCCCAGCTTTCAAGTGGCAATGGCCTTCTGTATATAACAAGGCAGTTCTCTGGCATAAAAGCTATTAGGCAAAGGAATGGCAGCCTTGGCATCTATTCCATATTGTACTCCTTCATTCCTCCTTAAGATATCTTTGAACAACCTACAGAAACTTTATATATTATTTTTTATTATTTCTCTCTTAAATATAACTTTCAGTTATATACTTTAAGTTATCTGTAACCCAGGTAACAAAAAAGCAGCCCAAGTATTTACATTTCTTGCATTGAAAAATGATTTGGCTTCTGGAAGCAGCAGCATATCTTCAATGCTTTTAAGTCTTCTAGAATCTAGATACATTATTTTACATACTCTCATTTCTCCATGGTGTCAACTCTGGGGCTAAATGTTAATGGTCTGAGTACAAACTACACCCTTTCAAAGTGCAAAACTGTGCTGTATCTATCATCTAATGGTCTCTTCTTTCAAGGCCTGTTGGGGTTTGTATGGGGAAAAACCCTTTGGCCAGATTATCTGGAATATATATTTGAGTGTTGTGAGATGTTCTGAATTCCTCAGCCTCCTAATCCTATCTTTATCTGTCAAATACTTGGTCCTATTAGAAGGCTTGAAAATTTTCCAAGAACAGGAGGGAAGAATTAAAATCTGGCAAGAGTAAAAATAGAATGCTGTGGAAGATGCCAAACTTTGAAACATTCCAAAAATTATTGCAATATAAAAAATTACCTCAGCACCTCAGGAACTCCTTGGGAAAACCAAAAAACTAGGTTTGGCGAAAGACTGGACAAAGTCCTTTAATACAATGGCACTCCCAGCTGTAAAGTCCACACTAATGTCCTTGCTAGTTCTTTCCTCTGTGGAATAACTGCTTTAAATGGAGCATGGCATTCTCCTCCCATCCCACGCCAGGTAACACAGCAATTTCTTGTAAAAAATAAGTTAATTCAGGAGCCCCTATAAGACCTTTCCCCTCAAAGAGAGGCTGTTAAAACAAAAAGAACCCTTCCCAGTATACCCCAACCACCAGACACAGGGTTTCAGAGTGGCTTTTGCTTAGATTGGTGGGCTTCCTCAGCTGCTTTCTGGCCAATCCATGTTTCTATTTCTTTAAAAACAGAAGTAGTCACATCAGGAAGCTCTTTGTGGAGAGCATGGAAGGCTTCGTCATATACCTGCAGGATGCAAGAAAGGAAGTTGAAGACACATTGCAAATTACTTCTGATAGACTATTTTTCCAATATATGCCTTTCTTGCCATTTTAACACGCAATTATGCCTTTCTTGCCATTTAACATGACACATCTTGTCCTATATCTAGCTAATTAACTCAATTTTTAAAGTATTATCTTCAATTAGGGAGCAATCTTGACTTTTGTATTTGTAAATTTTAGCTTGTTAGGAAGGTGGATTAATACCTTAGAATATTTTAATCACATACTTTCCCCTAGTGCTCAGATGTATTGTATAACACTGCTAAGCAGCACTAGCACAAACTCTTTTTTTTTCCCCAAACAATTTTTTATTAATTTTCAAAGAAAAAAGAAAAAAACACCAAATATACAAATACAGGCATACATTAATATCAATCTCAAAAATTTAGCATCATTACACCTGATTATTTTATATCTATTTCTACCCACCCACTCCCAATCCCCCCCCCGGACTTCCCAGAATTGATTACAGGGTTACAAACACCTCATCCCATCTCAAAATATAAGTGCCCAAATTTAAGACAAACAAATATAAACATCCTTTAACTCTAAACATTAAAAAACAATCAATTAAAACTCTAAGCATATAACTAATAATAATCTATCCATCTTCCCCAAGTCACATTTAAAATTAATTAATTAATTAAGCACAAACTCTTTTTAATCTTTCTTCATTGCAATACTTTTAGTGTCCATGAATTAACGCATAGGGGCATAGATGCAGGGATTTCACTGAAGATTGCTCCTTTCATACACATTTATGTTTATATTTATAACACTTTAGAAACATCTCAAGAAAATCCTGTTCATTGTATATTTCTCAAATATCTGATTGGTAAAAAAGTATTATTGAAATATTTTATTCATTGAAATGCCACTAAGTATTTCATGCCCTATTTTGCCTATTTTGTATATTCCTCCCCTCATGTAAGACACCAAGAAAAAGATAATAACAAGATAATCAATTTTTAAAATGTTGCATCTACAACTCTTTTCCATTCCTTCCATCTATGTGTTTTTGTCCTGTGACCTTCATTTCCACAGATGTGTTTGTTTTTCTAATACCGCCATTATTTTCTCTTTTGATTTGGCATTTCCTTTCTGGAATACCCATTTACTCAGTATACTGACAATAGCCTCTATCCCCAGTGACTCTATGAAAAATAACCTAATCTGTTCCTTATCTACAGAATATATTTTTGTTTATCTACTTAGTTACAGTTATCACCCTGTCTTTTTATATAAATGTCTTCTTATTCCCAAATTTCAAGTAGAATCTATCTTTTGCTAATCCCCTCTAATAGTAAGTAAAAAATGCACAATTTTTATAATTTACATTTCATCTATTATGTTAGAATTCAGTCATCTCATCCATAAATGTCTACTGTCATGTACATAAGACCAACTCAAATCTATAAATATTTCTTATAAATAGTAAAGGATGTGGCATAAGGAACTTCTAATCATGTTTCAGAGTTTTATACACAAGAGAGATCCTAAGGAAAATTCCTAAATATATTCTCTGTGATGTTTTCACTGTATCCGGTTGCTCCAGTAGAGACTGGAAAATATCTAACAGAGAACAGAACAAGAGAGCTGGAAGGGACCTTGGAGTTCTTCTAGTTCAACCCCCTGCTCAAGCAGGAAACTCTATACCATTTCAGACAAAGGGTTATTGTCTATTGGCAATACACAAATTTGAAATAGCCAAGAGGATGGATCCTGCATTTTAAATAATCCTTTTTTTTAATGCTGTTGTTCTATGCTATTTCCATGTGCAGTTTCGGGCGATCCTTTTATCTACTTCCGATTTAAAAATTATGTGCTAAGGAAAACTGATTAATTAACTCTGTCTTCCTGAAATGCAACTTGCTTCTTTGAATTTTAGGCATTCCTCTGGGCATTTTCATAGAAGTGAGATTTTTACAAATAATAGCCATTATGCTTTCTATTTTTGAGTGAATGTATCTCATGTTTAAGTTCTGCTAAAATCAATGGGATTAATCAACCTAGGAATGGGCTTTGAATTATGATGAATGGAAGAAATTGAAAATTTTACTTGAATATCATCGCAAAACGTATTTCATCTGGGCCTTCTCAGTACCTGAAAAGCTAAAGCATGCCTATAATCTAGATTTTTTTAAAAAAATATATCTGCTTAGATTAATACATTTGAATCAATGAACAGAACACAACTTTAAAAACAGTAACTGTATGATCCTGCAAAAATGAAATAAGTTAACCTTGAATGTTTTATCCTGACTTGGGGCAGTATCCATCAACAAGTAAGACCCTCGGATGTCGCAGAGTTTGTCCGGTGAACCATGGAGCACCAAGATGGGGAGAAACAGTTTAGGGAGAGAGCGCTCTATTTTGGCAATAGCATTCAGCAGCTGAATGACAAAGGAGACTTTCATGCCACCATGACAGACCAGAGGGTCTGAACGGTAAGTTTCAACCTGTTGGAGTAAAAATAACATTTCAGACATTTTAGCCAGCAAATAATCAACTTCTGATAAGCATTTTCTCTGCCATTTTGGAAGATATATATATTTAAAGAGGATACATATTAATAGTCACCTACCCATTCACATTTGATTATGTTGCAAATGCCCTTCCCCTCTGAATTCAGATTTGAAACTTAATTTTTTATCTTATTTCAAATGTATGTCAATGTCTGCCAAAAATTATGTCAAAGCAATTCACAGTACACAGACTGTGAATGGCCAAAAGATGAGTGCCCACTGGTTAAGTGGCAGGAGGGAATCTGACTCTGTAGATCGGGGTAGGGAACTATGGCCCTTTTATGACTTGTGGACCTCAACTCCCAGAATTCCTGAGCCAGCCATGTTGGCTCAGGAAGCCTGGGAATTGAAGTCCACAAGTCATAATGGGGCCAGTTGCTCACCTCTGCTCTAGATCATGCTGTTTAGTCTTGGCCTCTCCACATTGCTTAGAGCACTACAATTATGTATTATACAGTATTTCCTGCTGCAGGTTGATAGATGGACCTCCTTACGGTAATAGTTCTAGAAGAAAATTGTGGTCCAATATTCTCTCTAGTCAAGAGTATTCGTTGAATCAGTGGTAATCTAGACCATATAATTATAATTGTTGTTACTTTTTAATTTGGGACTTCATAGTGGAAAATCCGTAACCGGGGTCTTATTAAAAGAAGACTTCTCTACTTTGTCTGGTTCTAATGCCCAGGGATGGGAAACATTTTGCGCTTGGCATGTCAAAACATTCAGAAAATGCCTAACTTGACTCTGCTGGCATGTCACTCCCTCCTCCAAGCCAAGGTTAACGTAAAAGAATTGCTATGTTCACATAATATTACACCCACATTTTGTTCTTGTAGGTTATTTGATATACTTTTGTTCCCTTCCTTTTCTTCTCAACTGATGAGGAAGTGAAATTTGGTTTAGAAAGATTTTATTTTGCACACACTCTGTCAAGGAAGGGGCAAGGGAGAAAGAAAATTATGCTAACAGTAAAAGTGTAATTTTTTTTTTTGCAGCAGCAGCCTGACATTTTTCATAGGAGCTCTGACATTTTCACCCAAATCCATTTGCCTTTTCTTTTCCAGTTTAAACAAAAATGCTGGGTTCTTCTGGCTACTTAGCAACTAACTCTAGCCTAAAAACTGCCCAGTTGTTTGGTGCTGTGCCACAGCATCTCTCACACACAGGCAACATAGCTCCAAGCAGTTTCATTTACTAAAAAGCAGCAGTTGAAGCACTCTTGAAAGGAAAAAAAAATCACAAAGGAGTGGGTGGTTGAATTGACAGACGTTCCCTTCCCACAGAGTAAAATGAATGATATAAATTGGTATGACATACTCCCTTCACCCACCCCAGTACAAAGCCACAAATGCTAGCTAGGAGATGGGCTTTTTTGTTCTTAACCCCTAACCCTATTTTATACTGATATTTTAAAAACTCCTAGAAATACAAGAGACTCCACAGACGTGCAACTTTTGAAAGTTACTGATCCAAGTATGACATTACATGACTGTCCAAGCAAGGGACAAAAGTGAAAGAACAGAAGAAAAATAGCTAGTGGTTACACTTGGTTTTTAATCTTTGATTTGGTATAAACATGAACGTATCTGAAACTGCCAGGTGTTGCAAATTGAGAGCTTCTGGAGAAAGGCTGTGGAGGATAATGATGATTTTAATGAGAGATGCAGGCAAACAATAAAGGACAAGTCAAAGATCTTTCTTTTTGCCACTTTTCTTCTTTTCCAGTTTTCAGTCTGCATTCATTAATTTCGCTAAGCATCATTTGCGCAGTTTTGGATACTATTAAGGAACACAGTCCAGATTTTTCATTGAAGTTGTTTTTACATAACTTAAAAAACCTCAGAACCACAGATTCTCTCTTCATCCAGGCAGGATATCGAGAAGTATGGAATAATTTAATAGTAATATCTATGCTTTGTGTACAGAAGGTCCTTATTGTTTCTGATCAAAAGTGTATAATCTTCACTTAAAATCTATTTACAGTACAGGTAGTTCTTATTTAGTGACTGCCCTGTACAGTGACTGCAATCAATCTGCAACCTCATACAGAGATTGCCAACAAAAAGTAACTTTGCAACTAAGCCTCACATTTATGATCTTCACAGGTCTGCAAAGCAAAGCTGAAATAAGATCATAAGCACATGCATGGTTTCACTTAGTGATCGCTTCTCTTAATGGCTGACTTGCTGGTCCCAATTGTGGTAGCTAAATGAAGGATTACCTGTAGTTATTTGCCATTATTTATCCGACATTTATATTTAAGAATGAGATAATCAGAACTGTAGTATATTTTAAATGTGACTCTACCATCCATTAATTTATTTACATAAGTTTCTTTTAATACCCAATCTGCTTTTTTGTTGCTATAACCCAGTAAATGGAAATTTGCAGTAAGATTTCTGCTGCGACTATCTGGATTCTATTTTGGGTAATTACATCAAGTTTAATTACAGAAAAGTATACATGGTTGATGTGGTTTCACTGCTATTATCACATTTTCTGTTTTTGATTACTTTGCCAAATACAGTATATCTATGCTATAAAAATCTGGGCTACCACTAGATGACAGCAGACAGATATATGACTCCTTGTTACAATCTGGCAGGCACCTCGTTTTTTCAGTTTGGATACAATAACTGTAATGCTAATATAATTCTGCTTCTTGACCTGGAAACATCATTTTTAGAATTTATGCAGCACTTTAATGTTCTCTCTAAACTCATATGCATTACACCCTCTCTTTAAAACAAGGAACTAAATGGTTGCTAAATAATAATAATAATAATAATAATAATAGTAAAGTTGGAAGTGACCTTGAAGGTCATCTAGTCCAACCCCCTGCTCAGGCAGGAAACCCTATACCATTTCGGACAAATGGAAAAGCCGGGAAGACCAGGTTGCTGCCCTCTCATTTAGATAAAGTTCTCTTGGGCAGAGTCCTGCACCTGACCAGCCCCCCCCCCCCCTCACAGGGCAGAGAGATTGCTTAAGCAAGCTATCTTTTCCTAAGCTGCATTTCTCTGCAGTGCAGTGCTCCTCTAAAAAATGCTAACCCCCAAGTTAACAAGCTCAGATCTGTGACCTTAATTAGTTCATTAGAACCTTACATCAGGCTGTGTCTGAAAGTGATTAATTTTATACTGAAGGCTTTTGTTGCCAAGTGCACGAAATTTGGTTGTAAATGTACACATTAGTCAGAAAATGGTTTTTTTTAAAAAATAATAATGCCATATTTGTAAACATTTGCTCAGTGAGGTAACTGCTAAATGAGGAATAGCTTTATCCTAGTATTTGTTACAATCATAGATTTCTAATGTATAGGTTTCTGCTTTCAGCATATATTGACAAATTACTGCCTCAAGCTTAGTATGACCAGCGTGGAGTGTAATTTATATATCTATCTGCATATGTGCAAACACGTATGTAGAAATAGTTGTGTTCCATCCAGTCTTGAAGCGCCTGAAGGCAGGACAAGGAGCAACGGGTGGAAGCTAACCAAAGAGAGAAGCAACCTAGAACTAAGGAGAAACTTCCTAACAGTTAGAACAATTAACCAGTGGAACAACCTGCCTCCAGAAGCGGTGAATGCGCCAACACTGGAAGTTTTTAAGAAGAAACTGGACAGCCATTTGTCCAAAATGGTATAGGGTTTCCTGCCTGAGCAGGGGGTTGGACTAGATGACCTCCAAGGTCCCTTCCAACTTTATTATTATTATTATTATTATTATTATTATTATTATTATTATTATTATTATTATTATTATTATTATTATTATTATT